TAGTTTTTTATAATTCTATTAGTAGTAGCTAAGTATTTCTATATAATAAAAAGACTTATAAGTTAATTATATTTATTATATATCTAGATAGATATAGAGAAAGCTTATTTATATTAACTTAATTAGATTTAGATAAGTTAATATTTAATAGTAAAGAGTTATTACTATAGTTATTTAAACTTTAATCTCTATTTTTATTATTATTTTTATTATTATTTTTATTATTATTTTTATTATTATTTTTATTATTATTTTTATTATATATTCTAGTATTAGTATAAATAATAACTTTATAGCTTTCTCTATTATATAGTATAACGGTTAGCGAGGACCTGTTTTCGGGGGTTTAGGTCGCCGTTTTAGGGGTCCTGCTAACTAGTTCTCGGCTAACCACACACCCTCCGCTTTCTATACGAACGTATGTTTATGCCAGGCACCGTACACCCATTTGCCGGCTGGGCCATACCCCTGTATTAGATGATTCAACTCTCTATCTTCCCCGACCTTAAGTTTGAACCCCCCCGTTTTCTGGTGGTCAACGACGAGCCAAAAAAGGCACCTTTAGAGCCTACACAGTCCTGAAGATGTGTTTAAGAAATGTCCTCGCCCTTCGCTCGCTCCATCCAAATTCCTCTGCACCCCTCATCGACTCACTTCTCTCATCACCCACACTTCTCCCCACTTCACTTCCTCTTCTCAAATACTGTCATCTTCCCGCCCTCCTTGATCTAACTAACAGCTATCTTACTGTTTTTACCATCTCCTAGCCTCCTCGACACCTGTACAGATTATACAACAGGCCCAACACGATGAAGCCTGCCCACCTATCCACGATAAAGATGGCCTGCGAATCGACAACGACCTCGATAGCACTAGCGATTCCGATCTCGACAGCCTTTCGACAGTAGCGACGATGAGGCAGACACGGCAAGCGACACTGACTCGGATTTTTTTTTTGCCAGACTGTAGAGACAGCCTGTGGCCTTGCGTTGGCCAAATACTTGCAGCTGTCCTCTGATTCAGTCCGTTACCGGATGAAGATAGGCGGCCAGATCATAGGCTTTGCGCAGATCACGAAGCCATACGTTCTCCGCGATGGGAATGCTAAGGCGCTGAATAAGAGCCGTATGTATTGACCTCCAAGCCTTACAGACTGTTAGCTAATTCCAATCTTTGTATAGCGGACGTTAGCGAATCAATACAGAATCTCATCCTGTAGCATTTAAGCATCGAAACGTTTCTTAAACATTACCTCGATCGGAATATCAATGTTGATGTTCAGAACATCTATCGTGGCCAAGCACCTCAAAAAGACCTAATGAGCACTCCCAAGCTCATTGACACCAAGCAAAGTATCCCCTTCCAAGGTCAGGCTGGAAAACAAATTGGAATTACTAGTTCACGCAGAGAGGTTCCATGGAACTGTATCACGGGGCCCGGCAGAAAAGTTACTCTCCTAGATTTCAAATCCATGTTCGATTAACGGCGAAAAGGCAAGGACGAGTCCGACATCTGCTAATGACGGGAATACACGAACGCTGAACTTGCGTGACACTCCGAAGCCATAACCTTCCCTTGAATGGGACTTCCTAACGTGCTACATAACTTTACCACCCTCCAAGATGTTGGTCCGGTCCCAAATCTTCCTACGAAAGCGCTTGCAGTTTGCAAGTAAGTTCTTGGGACATACTTTTTGAGGTTGATAGTTGTGTGTGTGAGGATGTCCCTGCATTCCTGGAGAGCACTAGCCGTAAGTTAGTGAGAAGATGGAAGTCTTCCTTGGACGCTGACAATATCGCGAGAGAAATCTTCCGACAGGTCGGATTGAAGTTGGCGCATATGATCTCGGGAAATCAGCTCTTTGGAGACATTGGCCCGGACGAGGAAGATGAGGAGGAAGTTCACTCTTTGATCACCAAGGTGATTTTCCGGAGAATCTCTGGACATTGCCAATGGCTGTGAGAATTTTAGCATGCTGGTGTCCGGCATTTGCTAAGAAGATGATTACAGCTCATAAATTTTCTCGACGATGAACTATAGTACCACGAAACACTCCTCGCTATACAAATGATTCAAAGTGAAATTCACCATGGGTCTATTTATATAAAATCAGGAACAATGGATGCGTTTCAGGAAGGATATCCAGGGCAACTTCTCCTTGCTTATGCAGCATGCCTCGAAAATGTTGATCTATCTTGCGGAAACGAATCCCAACACGGGGCCGGATATATCGCAAGATTTATCAACTTTACAAAAACAAACTATTCTTCAAGGATCCTCTGACTAGCCCTTAGGTTTGTAATCTCTTCTATGAGCCGGGCTCTGCGAAAAATAGTCTGATTACTTTCACTAGTAATACTACTAAGTTCATAGTCCGCCAATCTACTAATAAGTTACGGCGAGAACAACTACAGAGGTCTTTCTTTGCTACTGACGAGGAAGTAGTCTATAGCTTAAAGGCAAATGGCATCGAAAAATCTCTTACGAGACACCTTATAGTACCCTTCGAGGGTATTATATAAATCCTGTGTCGTTTAACCCTCGTTACTTATAAATGTCTTGATTATATCTTCAAGACGGAGTAATAGCTACTTATATAGATCGTTTGTTATTTATAACTAGAGATCGATTAATTGTTTCTTAATCCGATCTTCGCGAGCTTTACGCAGGTTATTAGCGAAGTAGTACTTTATCGTAAGCAAATTGCCTTACTGTTTAACCTTAATCAAAAATCTAACCTGGTCCAGGGATTTCTTGTACTTGAGTAATAGTAGTAGAGACAGCATGGCCTATAATCTTTTACTAAGTGCCGTATCTTTACAGCAATACTAAAGTACTTTATAAGTAAAATTGTGGATTATCTGCACTACATTCTCTACGTGCCTACTAGCAAAATATCTCCAGCCTTGAGACTGTTACGAAAAGAGAGATAGGAGCAAGGAAGGATTTATAGTCCCTATCTCGAATCCCTTAGATCTTTTATACTATTTCGATATCTATTATATAATGTTCTGTTCAGGCGTTACAGGTAATGACGTGAGTAAACTTATAAGAGCCCTTAGCTCCGGGTACTCACGAAGAAGCTGGTTTTTTGTACAGCTTTCGGAAGTTACGGGCGTATCGAGACTAGTCACAGATAGAGTAGAAATCCCAAACTTAATCTCTTCACCTTCTCGGGCGGTCGTGTTTAGATTGTTCTCGCTAAACCCTGAACGGAATTTTCTCGTACATCCTTTGAGCACAATAATGTCTAAAAAGCTCTTATTCTTCGTTATCACGTCCGTTACTAACAGGAACTTGTCGTCCTTAAAACAGTTATCGCGTCTGTAGTATATATCTATAGCCCGAGAAGTTATTTCTCGAACGTTAGTAGTAATTCTGATAAGATAGTTACGTTAATCGTTCGGCGTGTAACGACCTGGATCCATGCTTATCAACTCCTCTTCCAAGTTCCGAATCTCTTCCCGTATATCGTCGGTGACCGCTTTAAAGTTCTGTCTTATTACAGTAACCAAGAGATTATTAAGTCGATCTTTTAGTAACGTAATACCTGCTCTCTCCTGTTGGATTACACTCCAGGGTTCGCGCTGGAAGAACATGGCTTCACGAGCATTACGGTCCTTATTGGTTATCTGGACGTCGCTCTGGCTACGGCTTCATACGATGGTGTAGCCAAGCTCAAAGTCAGCACTGCCAGCCCGATTCATTACCAGCTCTATTACCTAGGATAGTAAGTGATCGAAATACACTCATGATGGTGAGGATAGGCATACCTTCTCCTTAGCACCTCGGTCCACTAAGTCTGGCTTTGTAAGAACCCCGAGTATTCTTTGACCCTCAGGGTTAGTATCCTCAGCCATTTAAATAATCTCCTACGTTGCGATGTCGATATTGGCAGGAACAACAGCCCTAAGAAATATATAAGCTCGTCTTATGTAAGATGGAGCGTAATAATTACAGTATAACACTTCGAGGGTTCCCTAGGTAATTGGCAACTATATCCCGAACAAGAGCCATATCCTCCTCCGTAGTCTGACCTGGAGTTGGTTCTACGACTCGTTTTTAGCCGTGCTATAATAAGATATGGGAAGCTTACTTCTGAACAAACCTGGCAGATCCATAACACTAAAGTTCTTATACTCTAGACCAGAAAGCTTAAATTTAAGAATATTCTAGAGAAGGAGTCTATATTCTCGTCTCACTGCCTTCCGGGGTATGGAAGCCCTATACAATCCGACGCCTAAAGATATATATTAACAAAGGCAATGATAAAAATACAGATTCAAATGCCTTGCCCAATAGGTCCGAGAAAGACTGTTTATCAAAGCTTGTTAATTAAATCTTGCCGAACCTTACAACTGTATCCGCTTTGGATTACTCTTGACCGTGGGCAGCCATAATACTAACTTCCTTTCTCGCTATCGCTAAACGCTTGAACACAATCTGCGTCGGGAACCGAGTACATAGACCGGAGTCTCGTGGGAATAGGAGATTTGTTAGACCTTTAAGCACCGAACTTTTCCTACTTAATTAATCGCCTACGACGACAAGCTACATGATATTAAGTAAGTTTATATATAGAGGAGCGTAGAAACAGACCTGAGGCAGTAACACATATTGGTCAAGGCGAAGCGAGTACAACTGATCGATTTTCTGCAACCTAGTAGTATCTTCGGCCAACATGATGTGTAATAGGAGTAGGTATTGGAAGTTGGAAGAATGGAAATAGTGTCAAATTTTGAGCTGCTGATGATATATACTTGAACGGCATCACTGAATTTTAAATTGAAAGAAAAGCAATTATCTATGACGTTTGAGGTGAAACACTCTCCGTCATACTCGGTCAGCTCGATAAAGTCCTTGAGCTGCTGAGGATATATACTTGAACGGTCAAGTACGACATTTTGCGGCCTATAATAGCCCGAAACGGCAAAAGCGCCCACGCTCTCATCGAAAGGGGCATCGAGGTAGTCGAAGCAGACCTTAACAACGTGGAGTCGCTACAGACAGCGTTCGCGGGCAGCCAGGCCATCTTTGCCATGACCAATTTCTTCGACGCCCTGCCAAAGCTTGGTGTCGAGAAGTGCATGGAGGTTGAAACGCAACAGGGTATCAACCTCGCCAACGCTACGAGCGCCATCCAGTCCCTCGAGCACTTTGTGTGATCCACCCTGCCCAATTCGCAGCGAATCAGTGGTGGCAGGGCCGTGGTTCCGTAGTGGCACAGTAAAGCCAGGGTCGATGAACACATTAAGTCGATCCCGACGTTGCTCTAGAAAACAACCTTTGTATGGTTTGGCTGGCATGCCAAAAACATGGAATATCCCTGAGATCAGCCCTCTTCAGTACACCCAAGTGGCCAAGAGAAGCAGTACATCCAGCTGCTGGCATCAACGTCGTCAGTGAAAGTCCAGATGGTGGGCGATGAGCGGACCAACGTCGGACTCTTCGTTAAATCGATCCTGGAGCGGCCGGAGATGACACTCTGTGGCAAGTATGTCCTCGCGTCATGTGCGAGTTTCCAGAGAAGTGTATATCAAGCTCTGGCTCCTTTGGGCAGACCTGATGGATGACACTCATTCGTACTTTGAACTCATGGCGGAGAAGAGCTTCAGTGGGGAGGAGGCTATCTTAACAGTGAAAGATCTTGGAGTCGAGGGATTGGTCGGAAGCGCAGAGGCATTTAAAGCACTGTCATTAATAGAGTAAGACGGAACAACGAGGATAGCTGTCCTAGACCTTATGTACAGATATCAAACCTTCTTGCCGACAAGGGTTATTTATATGAGCAGCCAAAACTATGTGAATTGTTGCTCTCTACTCCGCAAACCATTTCGTTGCTGACTTCGTCCCCAACCGCGGTAATTTACTCCTTCGACCCAGCAAGGATGCTGATTCCAAATGGGTGATTTGCTGTGCAGATGAAGAACCTACAAGTGGCCTCAATTGATAACAGCTACCTGTGGAAACTACATGAAAACATCAGCAGCTATCAGTACAAAAGCTATTGAGTTACCTTCAGGCCCACCATGTTGTCTCGAGGACCACAAAGGATATAAGGAAGATGCTTATAGCCCGAAACCACTACATGCTTCAACCGTCTCCACGCCTTTGCATGCGACCAACATCAATCTCTCAAATGACTCCACCTCCTTGACGCACAAAGCCAACCATTGGCGTATTCACTGTACGCCACCGTCTTGTTCGGTTTGGCGAGCTGAACATACCCATCCTGTGAGGCCCAAGCCGTCGGTTCGGAAGACATAGGTAACATTTACAGAGTGGGAAACGTCAGGCAAATGCCGCGAGTCAAGATCGAGTAAACGCCACAGAGTAAAAACGTGATGAGATCCGTCCGGCGAGTACACTCTGCCAGAATCCAGCTATGCTAATCGGGTTTGCCGTCTCGAATAGCGAATTGATTTCGCTAGAGGATATGCAGAGCTCGCGTCATTAGCAAGCTCTCCTGCGATTCTGCCAAAATCTTTGCTCTACTCCGCCATAGAACAGCCGTATGATGTGATACAACACGAGCGCCTGCAATTTCGCCAAGTCTTGGACTACCTCGTTATCTGAGAGCTGGAGAATCTCGAGCACTTCTACATCCAAGACCTTGAAAATCATTGATCGATTATCTTCGTTCATCGACCCGCATACAGCAGCGGAAACAGCGAAAGCTGCTCGCACTGGCCGTGGTAATGCACTAAGATAGAGCTGCTCGTGTATAAAGACATTATTCCCTCTCCTGGCAAATTCCTCCTGGCAAGCTTTCAAGTGTGCAACAACTCATTGCCAGGTTTGAGTGTTCCCCATCAAGGGTTACAAGTCGCCACGGGGCCTAGCAGACTGGGTATCATAATACTCATCACCTCTGGCGAGATCACCTGTAAAGACAGGGGTTGAACCAGGTTGAGATCGAGACTCAGGTCCTAAACCTAGTTCTTGCTCAACAGATTGATCAACATCATCGGAGACGTAGCTACTGAGTAACTCAGGGAAGGCTTCTTGGTCAAGGACAGGCTGGTAGACAGCACTACCGTTTCCTACTTCCTGGGAAAATGGCGTGGCAACATTCCCAGATTCGGGTGGTGGAAGTGGATAGTGGCAGAGCTTGTTGAGCCTCTGGCAGGTCATGCAGACAGGAAACGAGCGATCGCACTTTTGACGAAGGGACATGTTGTTGCTCATCAGTCTATAGTCATTAGCGAAGGCACTGTAAATTGCGGTTCCCTCCCATTTGGCAAGAGAACAGCGAGGTCTTTGGCTTACAAATCTTCGGTATAGTCCGGACATTTGGTTTGGAAGCTGTCGTAAGTCTCAGGTAGGAAGAAGTCGATGCTGCACTCCAGGTACCTGGTAGGCTTTTCTGCTCTCTTCTCTTAATCCCTCAGTGGCAGGAATCACTCAAAACCAGCAAATCGCTTCGCACTCAGAGCACCAAAAGTATCACAGCTTTTAAGCTACCCGACCCAAAGAGCATGCGCAATTTTAGTCGCGCGGCTACGAGGCGGATTACTTGGTCTGATAGCCGGACGTCGATAGTGTTGCAGAAGGAGATCTGGAAGTCACTTGCGGGCTAGGGTTGATCCGGCGGTACGAGATATGAATAGCGCTTAGCCTCTTCTGGTAGGTGGGGCAGAATCTTCTAGCGAGTGTGAAGGTGAAGCCGATTTTACAAGCGACTCTACGTCGTCCGCTGGCTACAGAATGAGCAATCCACCCAATACTTCCATCAAGCAGCTTGTGGTGCTATCATGATCGCAGTGAAGGAAGCAATAGGGCCGAAGCGTCTTCTCACGCCCGCCTCGACACCTTGCAAAACAATGCTCCCTCATTATCTAGGTGGTTATGTATCACCTCAGTAGCTCACCACTTGTGGATCTTGTAACGGGAAAGCTCGTGATATAATATAGATATGTCATCTAAAAAATACGACGGGGACAAAATGGTATTTATGTACGACTCGAGACCTTCCTCCAATCAACTTGGTCTTTCTTCTCCATTGGTCAAGAATTTAGATCACGACACCGAGGCCGCAGGTAAGGCAGACTGCGGACTGTGACCATCGTCGCAATGTTCAGGCTCGTCCATCGTTCCCCCTTTCCAACATTTTTCCTGCTTTCCTGCTTTTATGATTTACTTATGGCTGAAGTCTTCGGTGTAGTTGCCGGCGTTGCTGGAATCGCCTCTCTAATTCCCAAGCTTATCAGTGGCATCGACACTTTACGCGATGTACAGAGATCCGCAGATAAGGCTCCAGCTGAGTTGGACGCTCTAGCAGATGAGCTAAAAGTGTTGAAGCGCTTCCTTGAAGAGGCCGCGCGCAATGAACATTTCGTGCTCGAAATGGGCAATGCAAGTTTGGGACAAGTCATTAGCGGCCTCGAAAAGCTGAAGAGGAAGTTCGCAGCCCAGTTAGAACCAAAGAAGACAAAAATGCCGAAAATCTTTCTTTTCCGACACTGGAAAGAGGATGTAGAAGCCCTCCAGGACAGTATTCGGACTGTTAAGTTAGATTTGATTATGTGAGTGTACCCTCTTAATGTTACCTTTATTCTAGAGCCAACATTCCTACAGAATCAACACACGCCACACCGTACTACGACAAGAGGAACATATGCTAGTAATGCAGAATTTCCTCTCGTCATTGCTTACCTCGAGCTTTGGGGGTGAAACTGTCACAGCTTCTCCATTACCATTAACATCATCCTCATATCCATCCGACAAGCCTGCGCTTGTTAACCGCACTATCACCTGCGCACAATCTTCTGAGTACAGACATAACTGGAACTGTGCAGAAAGGCACTGCTCTTGTCGCTGCCACCACACAGTAAGAATAAAACGACGCTTCTGGGCACTAGAATATACACGTTTGATATCCCGCCAGACTTGCAACAGCAAATTTTGCAATGGTACTAAGTATGGAGTATCTTTCAGGTTCACACTTTCACAGTGTGCAATTCCATCGTCGGCGACAATTGAGCTTTTTGTTCTTGCTACACAAGCCAGATTCTCGCTTCGTCCTGCTTTCGAAGTGGAACACATCGTTCGATATACTTCTCCTGGGTTTGAGACCTTGTTGAGATATGAGAAAGATATCATAACAGTCGAAGAAGCACGAGATAAATTTCTTGATCTCTTTCGGTCAGATTCGACCTTTAAAAATCACGTCAACCCGGCCGGACATTCGTATATTGAGGTAAGATTTTTGGGTTCATGACTAGTCAATGTGTGTAACAATTGAGATAGGAACTCTTAAGGGTACCGCGCTGGGGCCCAGTGGATAGAGCAGGTCAATACTCCCTTCTCGAGCTCTTTATGGGCGAGTTTGGGATGACGCGGGGAATAAAAGATACGAGGTAAGAATGTCTTAATATTTGTTTATTAAGCAGACTGCATGTGCAGTATAACGTTCTAAGTACGTTTAGTTGACGAGATACTTCTATAGATTCCTCACTCGCTGTGTAAACTGGATTGGGGAAGGGCCTCATCTAGAATTGCTGGACCATCTTCTTGATCTTGGCCTCGATGTTACGATATTCGACTCTCCGCTGGCACAGAACTGGCCCCCCCATCTTCACCAGACTGGATAGCCGAGGACATAGTGGAGGATCCATTCTTCCTTGAGTACTTAGGAAAGCTACTTAAGAACAATCAAGGTAAGTCGCATCCTCAACTACGACGTCAACTGTTTTGTGCTAATCTTCCTACATAGGCTTTGCTGATATGTCACCCCTTCATACAGCCGTTTTACTTGGTTCGGATGAGTCATTTTACAAATGGCTCTCTAGCTCTGCCAAAGACGAAAAGAACTTCCTGGATCAGACCCCTATGCACCTTGCAACTTCCAACTGCCAGCGTCTCGTTGCACTAATTAAAGCTGATCATAATTTAGATGCTACAGATATCTATGGCATCACACCCCTCATGTACGCGGCTGGTTCAAACTCCGAGGATTGTTTTATCGCACTCCTGGAATACGGAGCAAAATTAGATATCCAGTGTAAACGATACAACCGTACCTTTATGCAATATGCTGCTGTTCGTGGCAATTGGGACCTGCTTTTTACATACCTCTGCTGGGTAGAAAAGAAGGTTGAAGAAGATGCGTTAGAAAAGATAATAATTGAGGGCTGGGCGCAAATGCTCACGACGTGGTATTACGTGGCCTACCCAGACTATCTTGGAAAAAGGAAGGTGTCATTCCAGCAATTCCTAGCTAAGTGTGGCTCGGTCGACTTTATGATTAAAGACCAGGACAGAGAGTTGCAGGACAATACCCTTTTGCATTACGTCAGATCTGCAGAGGAAATTGACATCCTGCTTGAGAAAGGCTTCACACGAATCAATCATGTGAATAGTGCCGGTCACCACGCGCTTATCACAGCTATATACAATCACTGTAGTGTGCCGGACGTGGCGCGCAGGCTTCTTGCTATTGGTGTAGAAATCGACATCCAGGACAATTCACACCATACTGCACTTCACCATATGCTTGATAGCTTGCTGCGCTCTGTATCAAGCAATACCTGGGGAGCTATCGACACTCTATGCGTACTTCTCGCCAACGACGCAGACCCACTGTGTATCGATAACTGTAGGTGTCCCTGCTCACTTGGTGGTTGCCTTCCTTCCTCGGTACTTTGCATGCAAGCTCAAACTGGTAGCTTCTACGTCACCACCGTACCTATATGGTCACTAGAATGGCTCACTCTGATTCTCAAACACCGAAACTTAACTGAGGCCAGAGTCATTGTTCTTTCTCTCATTCGCAGAGCGAAATTTGACGACCTAGGAATGACACATGTTTGCTGCGGCCGCCGTCAGGGCTATTTCTCTCCGCCAAACTCTCAGGGGCACGCCCCAATGCCCGATGAAGATATCGATGCGATTCTGGAGGAAGAGTTCGAGTTTATCGACATGTTACAAGAAGAAATGGCGCTGAGTTCAGCTAAACCGTATGAAGAACTTGTTGATGAATGGATACAACAAATCAAAGCGGCACTTAAAAAATCTTGTATGGAAGCAAGTGAGAAAGATAAAAGCATTGTAAAGGAAAAAGTCATCCACGGTGTATATTCCCTACATCTTTACCGCTACCATGAATATTAAGCTAATCCAGAGCAGCCACAGCCCATATATGAAGTGGACAGCAAAAATGACTGCTTTAGATTTAGGCCTTTATATGTTTACTGTCCGAACAGAAATCCAGCTGAATCTGCGAAACGAGAGATTGTCGAATATATCCACTGGATGGAGTATGAATATCATTGTGGAAAGACTTCTGCACTGTGCAAAGGCGTGGGTGGATCTACTAAGGACGACTGGTACCTCAGCAGGCTTTCTTGGCTGTTTAAACTCGTCAACGAGTTAGGGATTTCAATGGCAGAACTTACTGCCAGCATAAGGGAGAAAAACGAACCAGATCCAGAATGTCTGGTTAAGCAGCCTATCGGGGTAGAAGAAATCACTAAACACTTGATAGCGTCGTGGCGTGTATGGGAAGGACGTCGAGATTTGTAAGATGGGAAGGTTGAAGTATAGTCAAGCAAACAGTTGCTGAAGTACTGGTTTCTTAATATAATTCTGTAAAAGGATTTCGCCTAATACATGAGGTTCATCTTCGCACTGCCGACCTACCTATCATTCTACAGAACGGGAGCTTTGTTACGAAACTCGGCTAAAGCAAAAACCAAATCTGGACAGAAGTAAACGGACTAAAAGAACGCCTATGCAATTTGTGCTTTTATTTTGTCTATTTACTCGTTAAATTCAGATACGATAGCTGTGGATTTGTTTCAGCTAGTTCCAAGATTATATCACCACGACGATGTCAATATCTCATTTTCTCAGGTCATTTGTTTTTATTTAGATGTCAAGATTCCCATGCGCACCATCTCGAGTTCCAAGGCGCTGGAACTTCCTCGTACAATGCTGTTAGATATATCGCTTCTATAATTCCGTGATAGATCAACCACAGTATCATATAATTCAACTCGAAAAAGAGACATACTATGGCCATCATTTAGACAAAGACAAACCCGTGGAAGGAGACTCTATGAATAGATTCATTCCTTTCCTGTGGGTATACCTCAACGCTATCCCTCTGCCCTCTACCCTCTACCTCCTAACCAAACAACGTCCCGTTATTATGGACCCCTCCTTCATCCTGCCAAAGCCTTCTTAGTCAATTCCCTACTCTTATCACTCATCTCCAAACTCAACGCCAGTTTCATTCCCTCTGTACTCATCTTCAACCACGTCTTCTGTAAGATCTTCAAGACCTTCTCCTCGTCCTCAATTCCCTTCTCAAACCCATCGAACTGATCATCCAAGAACACTAGACAAGCCACATCCTCCAAAACCTTTTGACCAAAATCAGTATCTAATACCCCTCGGTAAACATAAACATATCTGCGTCTCCTCATTACTCTTTAAATCCTCCTTCCTAATCAGTCTCGCCACCTCATCCGCCTCCTCCTGCGTAAAATTACAACCCACACAAATCGCACTAGCCAGATCCGCCTGCCTCTTCTTCAGAAATGTCCTCCATGCGAAAAATATCCAGCCTTGGTAGCGGGGTATGACGATCGGGGGATTTCCCAATGTCGAAAATACTGCGCGCGGATAGCGACTTTGAGGATTGTCACGGTCGCACTATCCTAAGGAATATCTACATGCGCTTGGTGTACTGCGATATGGCAAAAAATGTTAGTCGCGTGTTAAATTACAACCCATTAATTTCACTAAATCAACATCTCTGGCAGCTATCTCCTTCATTCTCTGCCACTGCAAGCCCTCTTAAATCCGAACTGCCAGCGCCAGCGGGGCTATCTATAGCATCTCTACCAGCCGCATACTATGATCAAGATAACGAGCTCGTACGCCTTGGCAGCGACGCTGCCGCTTTCATAACTTTGGATCTGGACGTCTCGAGACTCAAGCAAATCTATCCATACTTGTGGCTTGCGGGGAGGCCAACAAATACTCGACCTTTGCTTCGGCAGAGAATGCTAGAGCGCCAAATCTTCATCACCGAACAGGCCGACTTGCACTTGGTCTGGCATGAGTCGCGGATTTTATCAAACCTCTTCCAGAACATATTTTCGATCACCAGATATGGAACGATATTATATGTAATGATGCCGCATTGCATGCGAGTTCATATGGATTTTGCTATCATATGTCTGGCTTCTCCGTTATCCAAGTGATCTTAAGATCGCAAAACGGAATAAGATATTAGATATCTAAAATCCTACTTTGATTAAATGGGAATAGAGAAAATTAATCTACATTGTAAGCTCTTTTGACTAGATGTATCACGTGATCAATGTGCGAACCAGGAAAGGCCAATGCGGTAATGACTTTTTGAGGCACCAAATGGAGTAAGATAATATTGAAAATGCATGCTACTTATACGTAGCAACGAAAGTAAAGCGACCCGTTCTACTAGTCATAAGCATATCTCATCGATTATGCCACGATCTCGCGTAAGGGATATGTGCAAAGACAGTGATAACAGGGAGCAGATCTCGTTCAATAGCGAGGAAAGACGAGCTCGTGTATTTGGACTAGTATAGCGGTATCAGGAAAGCCGAGTATTTTAAGATTGAAAGCAAGTTTAAGGAGCACCAGTGGGTGACAAGACTCACGGGCCACCCACGTACTACCCCCACTAAAAAATATTAAAATACACCTAAAAGTCGAAGATTCGATTAAAGGATTTACTATCTTATAAGGATAGTATTAGTAGCCTCTCGTCCTAGGTATCTATAGATAATCGAGTCGTATACTTACTAAATTAACTTTATTCTAAGCTCTTTAGAATTAGGTACTTAACGTCTTTCGTAAAACTATAATTTCCTTATACTAGAGAGAGAGTACTTGTTTATTAATACCTATAGCTTAATCTTAGCTAGAAATTTCCTTATCTCTTTCTATATATATTCTATTAATACCTAGTAGACCTCGTTCTTCTCTTCTATAGTTTTCTAGAGAGTCGCTAACTCTTCGTTTTCTAGAGTTCTATCTAGGCCGAAGAAAACTTCTTCCTCGTTAGAGGTCTTATTTACTAGAATCGAGTCCTTAGAACTATCTTACCTAGAAATCTCTAAGGCGCTACTAGTATTACCTAACTTATCTATAGTCGGCTCTAATATTATTATTATTATAGTTTTTTCTTTAACTCTATAACGGCTTTATATTACTAGTTTTACCTATATCTTATAGGTAACCTTAATAATATTCTTTAGTAACTTTATAAGGGTCTCTAGTTTTAAGAGTTATAGAGTTCTAGCCTAGAGCCTCTTATCTAAGTCTCCTTATAGTATATTCTAATCTCTTTTTAATAGAGTATCTACTCGCTTATTATTCTTACCCGAGATATATAAGAGCTTAAAGTTAAACTAGAATAGCTTAAGAAACTATCTTACTTATCTTTCTATTAACTTCTTTACTATTATAAAGTATTCTAGGTTCTTATAGTCTATTTTAATCTTAAACTCGCGAACGCTCTTACGTTCTACTTTCTACTCTTCTAAGTATCTAATAATTACTAATATCTTCTTATTATAGATCTTATAGTTATATTTAGTACTATTATTCTTCTTTAAAAAGAACCTATAAAGTCGAAGTAAACTATCTCTTTACTACTATATAAGGACCCCCTCTATATAGTATTCTAATAAATCTATTTCTAATAGTATCTCTAGATTATAGTTAAACGCCGCTAGTAAGGGCCCTTCTATAAATATCTTCTTTAGCCTCTTAAAGCTATTCTATATACTCTTATTCTACTAGAATAAGGTATTCTTAAGTATAAGCGCTATTATTAGCTTTACTATATTTAAAAAGTTCTTAATAAACTTTCTATAAAAGTTTATAAAGTCTAGAAATTCTTAAACTTCTTTTACTATCTTTAAGGCTTTTTATTTAAGAATAGCTTTAACTTTCTCGAAGTCTATCTAAACTCTCTTCTCTACTTTAATAATAAAGTCGAGATACTTTATAGACTTTACCTTAAACTCGCTTTTACTAATATCTAATTATAGGCTAGCTTCTTAAAGACGTATTAGTATCTAATTAATATATTTTCTATACTTTTATAGTAATTCTATTATATATACTAGAATATTATTAACGTATACTAAATAGAACTTATCTAAGTAGCCCTATAAAGTCTAGTTAATATACTTCTAAAACGTACTCGAAGTATTTACTAAGCCGAAAGAAGTAATAAGCTATTTATATAGACTATATCTTATTCTAAAGATAGTTATCTATTTCTCTCCTTTTACTATTTTAATCTTATAGAATATAGCTATAATATTAAACTTTAAGAACTAGTATACTCTATCTATAGTTTATAGTATTTTATAAATTAGAGAAAGTAGATATTAGTTCTTCTTTATTAGTACGTTTAACTCTCTATAGTTAATATAGAATCTTAACTCTCTTTCTAGTTTTTTTGTAAATAATATAGATACTATAGTAAAAGAACTACTAACCTAAATAAACTCTTTATCTAATAGATTTATTAGAGTCTTTTAAAGAACTAGTAGTTTATCTTATAATATATTATATAGTAGTCTCTAGAGAATTATAGCGTCTTTTCTATCTACTTTTTCTAGCTTAATATAGTAGTTAATATCTACTTAGTATAGAGATAGTTTATTTACTTTATTTATATTAAAGAGTACTTAAAACTACTTATATTATAGTAGTAATAATATATCTATATCTAGTTTCTTCTTACTCTATAGCGCCTTATTAATATTCTTTATAGAAGCTATAAATACTTCTATATAATACTTCTTTTATAGAGAATATAGCGCGCCCTTACTCGCTATATATCGAGCTATATTACTTAAAAGTATAGTTTATTTAGCTTTATACTTATTAGTTTAGAAACCCTTTATTAGAGTTATAAATACTATAGTAGAAATCTACTTATAGTCTAGTTTAATTTTCTCTTCTAGAACGTACTTTACTCTAGTCTTAGAGCTCGAGATAAAGATCTCTCTATTCTTTTTATTTATCTTTATATTATAGACTACTATCTAGAGTATTCTAATTACTATATTCTTATTATCTATTCTCGGGATAATATATATAAAATATCTAGACTTATAGTAGCCTTCTATATCTAGAGAGAAATACGTAATAGAGTCTACTACTTCTTTATATTTATTAAAAGCTACTATAGCTTAAGATAGAATTTAATAGTATAGAAGTTTATATTTTCTTATAAAGTAGAAATTAATTATACTATAAGTAGAATATCTAGTATTAATAAGAGTCTTTATATTAATTCTATTAACTAATACTAGTATATTAAATACTAATCTATTTATATTATTTTTAAAGTCTTTCTATATATTATAAACTAATACTTTCTCTAATCGCTTTTAATAGTAGCTATAGTTAGAAGCTATTCTTTTTCTAATACTTTACTCTCTTTACTAGAGTTATTCGATACTAAGCTTTCTTTATTCTTAACCTTCTTCTTAATAACCTTACCTCTT